TTCATGAGAGCACAAGAGGTGTGATGTAAGAAACAGAAGGGAAAGTTTCTCTTCATCTTCAAAGATGAGTCATCATAATCATCTTGTCCAAGCAATAAAAGACACTTGAGTGATGCACATATATACTGTACACTGTACGTACACACACACACACACACACACACACATCAAAGGCAGCATCAGCTGCAGGTGTTTGATGTGACTCATATTGGGTTTAAGCCACTCCAAAGGGATTGAGGTGTTACAGGGAAGCTGGCCGTTTTTGGGGGGTTGGAGGTGGGCACTTCGGCGACTTAACGCAAAGCATGGCAACACTGCTGCTGTGAGTTTGAGTATCTAGAAAATACTCTCAAATTCCATCAGGGACACTGCTCATACTGGGAAATATTGTACTCACTCAGTTGATGATATAAGAAAGCCATATTGTACCTCACTTTGTGAGTGATACGCTCTCATATGCTTGAGTAATTCACAATGGAAGGTTAACACTCGTTTATAAAGATTTAATGTCAGAAATTAATGTCAAAACAGTAATGAAGCTTTCACTTTTCAAAATGGGACAATTACCAGCAATATTTCCAGTAGGCTGTCAGTTACATTGAGGATGAGCTCCTGGGAAAACTCAGGAGGATTTTCTCACTTATACTTGTAGACACTCCATCCGGATTCTCTGTCTGTTTACAGATGTGGATGTGAGCTCAGGCAGAGGGTTTAGGGAAGCGATATGGAAATAGAGGATGAGGACTTAGTGATGCAAGGCAAACCTTAAGCCCTCCCAGTGCACTCCTGTGTATCAGACTTCAATGACCGCAGCCCTGCTGAGCACATCAGTACGCCTCAATATGTATGGAAATGAGAGGCAATCATGCTAACGTGTGTTCAGTTTCTTCAAACATGCTAATGGTGTCGTTGCACTTTCAGCCCTGCATCACCCCTTCTGACATGTCACCCCTTTCTCAGACCCTTAGCTGTCTGTCTCTTTCCTGACCTGGAACAGGTGTGGTTTTAATTATGCATTCAAATGTATGTAGACACCGTTCGATCCAGTTGACTGAGCTCCTCCCCCTGCAGCATGTATCCCACCCTCTCCGTCTCCCTTTCCTTCTCTACCCTTTCTCCCATCTTCCTTCGCTAACTCTACCCCAATACATCCCTCCCTCTCCTCGTCTTTTAGAAGTTGGGGATTGAAGGACTCGATTTCAAAACCGCGCACGTCTCGGTGACTCAAGTGAGGGGTTTGTTCCGCTGCCACACTTCCGTTCACAAATGCTCTGGCTTGGGGAGGATGGAGAAATCCCTGTTAATCTAGTGAATCTGGCTCTGTCTGTGTCTTTTGTTCATTGTTACTGGGCCTCTGATGCATTGGGAGGCATGTGTGGGGTTGGGTAAGTTGGGGTTTGCTACACAGTTCAGTCTATATGCAGTGAAGGAGTCTAACACCCCACTCTCTATCCAATCTCATTTAAAAAAAAGACTTTTCACTGAAATGATTACAGATGATCAACAGTTTGCACCTTTCTGTTTGAATCTGGTAAAGCAGTACATATTTCACCATTAGAGATGACTGTGTTGACATGAAGAAATACTGAACTGCAATAGAAATAAATACTAACAGAGCACAACTTGGGCGTCAGCTACATGAGGCGCATGGTTCTCACATGTCACATGTGCTCCATACACCTGTATCAAGATAGTTGAAGAGCTATTTTAAGTGAGAGAAATCCAGGACAACAATGTGTCATGTTGTTATCTTTAGCAGGTAATTTCCTGCTCTAATTGCACTGTAGCTAAATAGAGGAGGTCATGCAAATGACTCTGGAATAAATTTAGTGCAAGCACACAGAAAAAAAAATTAATATGCTATTACTTGGCACCTGTGCCAAACTCAGCATTGCTATTGCATCACACAATGTGGGCTCTTGTGTATTAACACATTTTTGAATATCATATTTTAGCTGTCTTCCTTAGGGACTTGCATGTGTTAAAGCTTGCTGGTGCATACGGTGCACTTGGCCTGCACCAGTGGTGTTGCAGGGAGGGGTGGGGGTGGGTGCTTGTTTTGTTGATCTGTGTTTAATGAAAGTGACCACACAGAGCAGGTTTGGCCATTAGCTCAGCAAGGGCCTGTAATCACTACAAGTTGTTTCCCTTTTTTCATGCAGTTCATTATTGAACAAACAATCTGTGGGGAGAAAAGCGTGTGTACCTGCCATCTTCTTTTTCCCTCGTTTTATTTCCCTCTGCAAGGCTGCACTTTGGAAAGTATTGATTTGGTGGCTTGAAAATAACAAACCAGCAACCGTGCGAGTGGGGTAATAAACAGGCTCAGAAAAAAAGTATAAAATAGTTTAAAAAAGCACCCATGTAGTGTGTGCCCTAAAATAATTATCAGCTAATGTATATGCTTAGATTCAGTCAGCCGGGGTTGCTCTTATTGCTGTGTGCCACCCGTTACCTTTCGGTGGCAAGAAAAAATACCTGGATTGAAGATGGAAGCAGGATAGTTTATGGCACAGTGCCCAGGGCAGTGTCACTGGACTGCACAGACTTGGAGCTATTTGGTTGTGTAGCAGAGCTGAAAAGACCTTCAGTCCCCCATCTCAGATCTTTGCTAGTGAAATAAAGTCAAAAGTGTGAAGTGTGGCCCTGATTGACTCTGTGTTCACGCTACATCTCAAAGAAGCTCAACATATTGTGTTTATACATGCACACCTACTTAGAATTTACTTAAACATATGAACATGCACACAACAATAATGCACCAACTTTTGTTCCTGTTAGAATATTTTTATCTACACAAAGTAGCTTACTTGATCTTCTTCTCCAACTAGTTTCTAAACCGATCAACACACACACACACACACACACACACACACGAACACACATACTGAATATAAACTCCCCATCACTCATTCACATAAATACACACAGACTCACCAGACTCTGGCCCGTCTGTTTCTATTAATGGTAATCAGCAGGGTAATAATGACGGAGCTGTGACTGCGGCTTACTTACTGGTGGCTGATAGCCATGCTCTCTGACAGCTGTCAGCCGCCATGACTACGCTGCCAGGGTCCTCCTTAGGACTTATTTCAGCTCAGCACATCAGCTGCAACAGCACTTCATGCACACACAGACTTGTTGATTATCAACATCAGCAGGCCGGCGTGGAAAGACTTCTCTGACCGCCTGTCTGTTAATGACAGCCACCATGATGGTGGATGGGAGAAAGAGGACACAGCCTGTCACTTTGATTCATGCACCAGCCGCTCCAACTGGGTGGCTCCTCGCCAAAGTCTCGACACTCGTTATATCCCTTCCTAAATGACATTTAAAGTGTGAAGCAATGGCTGTCCTTGTGGTTCAGTCACCCCAGGCCGGACCCCGGACATGAGCGCCGAACCCTCTGCCAAGTTCTGCATTGGGGTCACAAACCCTAGAGCAAGTTCTCCTCGCTCAGATGCTCTAACTCAACATGCTGGAATGATTGAATATGTTGAAAGTGACCTTGATGATGTTTTCAATGATTTGATGCATGCCTGACTTTTGTTTTCTATCCATGTTTTCTTTGTTTCTTCTCTGCATTCTCTCTCCACCCCTTTCTCTTGAATTAGTTAATTTCAGTTCAGTTGCAACTGTTTTGGCATGACATACATGTATCTTCTATACATTTTTAAAGCTTAAGGTGATCCACTTACCTTCCATATAAAATATACATATACAAGCTCTGAGGGTAGGAGAAGGGACAGTGTGGTTTTTTCAAATGTTTTTTTCAAACTTTTCAGACTACATGTTCAGCATGCTGTAAATACAGCTTGTACAAGGATACAAGATAAACCCATCACTTTGTTCTAAGAAATAACTCAAATTTAAATTGTAAGGGACCAAAGCTTTTAAACTGTACAACACAGCAAAATAAAATTCAACAGCGGTGTCAGGACAAAGGCGTGGCGACGGAAGAGTTGTCAGGGGCATATGCAATGCGTGACATGGCTCTGCTGGTTCTGCAGGCTTCCTTACAGCCGTGACATGCATATTCATAAATTTGGTCTATGCTATGTGACTATATTCAAGCTGGGCAAAAATGTGAAAGGCATTGTAAAACTGTATCTAGCTGTTAGATCTTGTTGCTGTTGTTACAGGAGGCGGCAGGGTAAAGATAGTACACACAAGCACCTTGCTCAGAAACTGTGCATTGCTAAATTGACTCTATAACTTTAATTTGGAATGCTGTAGAAGAGGAAAAAAAGGGATCAAGATGTAACAGAAACACAACACCAGATCGGAGATGGGTCATGTTTTAAGGCTTAATCTCTCCAGAGAGGGCAGAATAGTCCATTTCTGCAAGGTGGACAGAAACAGAAGTACCAAGAAGTAAATATAATACTTTTGTTCACTTCCACTTACAGATGCCGAACCTGAAGTTTGAAAGTGCGTCATTTTAAGCGGCTTGTTGGCAAAACACATTTTCTAAGATCTTAAAATTGCTAGAATCAGAGAGATTCAGTAGAATATGAACAAGAATATTCTCTTTGAAAAACAATATTCCAAATGTATAACACGGTTGAAATCTTGGTTAAAGTAGGAAGACTCTAAAGCTCTTGATCAACATATTGCACGATGAGAAAGAAAACCAAGTATATACTCAGCTTGAGTGAAGAGTCTGCTGTTTTTCTTCATCTTCAAGATGTACAGTATTGTAAAACTTCCTTTCTTTGCGTGTTTTGTGCAGTGGATTGTTGGCTGAACTCCTTAGATTAATGCACTAAAAAAACATGAATATTGCATCCTCAAGGCCTGCTAGCGAGCACTACAGTTTAATAAATTACTTCTTAGCTTCATACTATTTTACATCCACCATGAGAAATAGATTTTTTTCCCTTTCATGACTTTTGTACAACAAATGATTTGCTTTCTTAAGTGATTTTATTTATGCAACAATATTATGCACTGTTAAAACACAACTCTCCTAACCTCTCCTTCCACAACTCTGTCCACAGTCTATCCGAGAAGTGACAGGCTATGTGTTGGTGGCCCTGAACCAGTTTGACTACCTCCCTTTGGAGAACTTGAGGATCATCCGAGGAACCAAGCTATATGAGGACCGGTACTCCCTTGCAGTCTTCCTCAACTACAGACGTGATGGAAACTTCGGCCTGCGCCAGTTGGGTCTGAAAAACCTCACAGGTGAGTGACTGAATTATTTTTGGTAAATAAGTGACCTATTAGTCAATATGGATGTGCAACTTCAATCGTTCAATCTTTTTAAAAGTTAGTTTTTATCTGAGATCACATGTTTAACATTCAATATTCCCATGCCTCCTGGAATCTGTCTGTTTACCCTTTCATTCGCCACCTAATGTGAACTCCTAACAGGTTAGGACACCACTGCAGCTCTATGTGGTAGGAGTTATTTTTTTAGGTTAAGGACCATAATAAAACTATTGATGAGGTGCTTTTACTCATAAACCTAAAATCCAGACGAAAAGAACGTCATTCAGCAACTTACGATTGTTAGCTCATCAGATGCTTATAAAGAATACGGACCTGGTTGATTTTACAGTGAGACATGCCTACATGTAATGTTACTTTTTATAATTCTGGGCTGAGTTTAAAGCGGTCATAGCAAATGGCGACAATTCCATTCCTATTGGTTTTGTTCTTCTTTGTCACCGTCGTCATTGTCGTCTTCTTCTTTTTTCTTTCTTCTTCTTTCTTTCTTGTTTTTCTCCGCTAAAAGTGTTTGGGCAGCAAAAACTGCTGGACAAAAAATCACTAAAATTGGCACGTAGGTTGCAAATTCCACCCACTACCTCATAGACCTCATGGTGGTGCTATAACAATCAACTTTGCGTTTTTACAATCATCTCGAAAACAGCTTTGTTTAGAGTCAAACTTCTTTCATCATGTTAATCTCTGGATTCATCTGCATCTTTGCTCCGATGGTCTTCTGCTCTAAAAATGTCAAATTATATGACTTTTTATTTCTTTTCTCTAAAATCTATTTTTGCGAACTCGTCCCAGATGGTTTTGCCAATCAACCTGAATCTTTGGCAGGATCATCTATGGACGTCGCTGAACAAAAGTTATATAAAGAATATTTATATGTCAATCTGTTTTGGTTTTTTTTTCATAAATTTTTACTTTTGTGTATTTACGTGCAATTTTACATAAATGTTCGAAATTTGGTTTGTACGATCTCGGGTCACTGTTCAGTTGATGTATAAAATTTGGTAATGATTGCGCAAAGAGGGCATGGACTACTACAAGAAATTTACCTTTCTGGACATTTCTCATTCCTAGCTTCAAAAAATCTAAGAATATCATCCGTAAATCCTAGCTAAAGAGAGAGAGCTAAAAAAAATTGTCAAAATGTCGCAGGTGGGTTAAATATATTTCACCCAGTAGTCAGGTACATATAATGACACTCTCTGATCTCAAGGCGATGCTGTAAAAATCAAGTTTGCGTTTCTGAGTTTTTTAATTAATATCTTCTTCAAAGACAACAGTTGGTTGCTGGTTGTTTCCATGACAATTATAATGTGATTTTGGCTATCCTAAATTGGCTAATCTGCTGGTAGTTGTATACTGGCTTCCATCCCCTTCACGCAAGATGGGAATATCCAGAAAATCTCCTTCTTCTTCTTCTCCAAAATACCCGACTAGTGCTGTTTTCACAATTAACCCTCTCGCATGAAGGAGTGTGATGCTGATTTGCGATGTTGTGAAAATACATCTGTTTTTTCCACCCATCGCTCCTGTTCACACAGAAATTCTCATCTGATTTACAAGCCACTCTGCAATCGCCGAAGTCTGTTTCCTCAGAAGTCAGAGAAGACAGTGAATGTGATTGCTGATAAATAGCGTACTAAGTAGGAAAACAATGTGTGGGTGGCTATGCATCTTTATGAACAATGGATCCTTGTGCTTCTAGGTTTCCATCCGGCGTACTGACCCTGAGGTCAGTAAGAAATGAAGCTCTTGACTTGCAAAAAAGATGTGAGCTTTTCCAATACAGGGCTAAGTGGGGCAGGCCAGGGCCAGGGCCAGCTCATGATGTGTGCAGCACAAGATCAGAGGTGTTATTTACTCATTTTGAAGCTAAATCCAACCTCACAAATCTTCTGGGTGAGTGGAAATGGACAGAGAATTAATTTGTGTTTTGGCTGAATAACATTAAGTAGGATTGTTGTCAGTAAGTCCTGGTCAGTAGTCTCATGGTGTAAGCACTGCTTTTTTTGTATTGTTTTTTTGCCCTCCAGTTCAGTTATAACTATATTAGAAATTATTGTCCTTATTACCTTTCACACATAGGGAAATGTGTAGAATGATTTATTAGGTAGCAGCACAAAGTGCTATGCATGTTGTCATTGATGAAGATTGTCAGTAAAATGTGTCTTGAAATGACTTTAGCTGCTTATTTCTCCATGGAGATGAGTTCCCAGTGCAATCACCCTGGACTGGTGGCACACAGTACAGTTTCCACCAAATATTAAACAAATTCTATCATATATGTGATATATAAGCATGATTCCAAATTTATCATGGAGACACTGAGGCAACATGAAAAAGACAATGTCATCAGTTTGCACTAGTGTTTAACAATTCTCTCTGTATGTGTAGAGATTCCAATTTATTCTAAGACCAGAATTTATTTAGATTTGTAAGGAAGAAGCATGGCACTGAGTTTGTGTCTCTGCTACTTCCAAGCTGTCTTTCTAAATAATTCAGTTGTCTCTCATTGTTCTCTTCAACCGTTCCTTCCCTGTGATCCCCCAGAGTCCAAGGAAACAACACATCCATCCGCGAGTGTATTTGCACCAACAGTATGTACTTGTGTGTTATGTTCCATCTTGTATTCTTTCTCGCATGTCGCACCATACGCAGGGAATTGTATTTGTCCAGCACCACTAGCAGATTTTTTGCCAAGCCAGTCCCCTTCATTGTGGTTCCAAGTTGAAGCCAGTGCTAAGGGAGATGGGGCTGGACTGAGAAGCTGCTGTTTGATGTGCCATCCGTGGCCTCAAGCCATGAAGTGGAGGGGAAGTTATGCACAACAGCCATGGCCTGAATCTGCTCTACTTCATAACTCTGACTGTTTGAGTTTCACCCTAGTATTTTTCATTCTAGCTAACAAGTTGAACAGAACAGAAAATAATCTGCTCAATGTCTTGTGAGTGTCAATTTTATAATGAGATATTTGTCTTTGTGTTAGTGTGTTATAGGACAATTCTATCATGTTAGGAGGCTTTGTTGTTATTACAACATACCAACTTAAGGTCTCCATTGCTCCCTTTGCGTTGGTGTTCAAGTCAACCACATTTAGATTAAGTGTGATTATCCTTGAGTCCATCTCAGATCAGTTCTGACTGTGCTCAGGTCATTTTCAATTGGGTATCTTTATTTAAAAATGTATAATGCATGTCAAGTTTTGGTAGATGGGGCGGTTTTGGACTGGGTCCAAGATTTTGGACTATGAAGACCAACCTATGTCTTTATAACAAGAAACTTGTCTTGGAGGGTTTATCATATCACTGTTTTTTGCACAGATGGTCCTGACAGTTAAACAAGCTCTTGCTGGCGGGGGAAGTAACAAGTTACTTGTGTCCCAGTTTGTTCTGTTGCAGTTGTCATCATTCTACAGTGTACTGCTGAGGAAGGACATACGCCTGAACCATCAGGATAGATCCACTCCTGTACATCAAGCAGCACAGATCAAAACTCTTTCCCTCCTTCAAGTGCTTTAGTGAGTCCGAGGCTAGCCATCTCATTCATTACAAGGCCTTTGATGTTGCTGTCATATTGGTCCACCATACGTCTGCCAGAAGTGTCCAGGAGAAGTGTAAAATGATCAATATAATCCATAGGCAACATATATAAGAGGATAAAACTTATTAACTACATAAGGGACTAATCGAGTGGCAGTGGAGTAAAAGACCCCTACAGCACTGAAACCCTCCCGCATTTCTACTTGGGTCGAAATTGCTTTAGGATGAAATCAATTTGTCGCTAGTATATTGTAGCATTGCACTTATTGATTTTTTTGGTGCACTCTCTGCAAATGTGAATGGACTCTCTGGATTTGAGGGGACTGGAGGATGGGGCGAAGGCGGTCTCTGGCTGAGCAGGGATAGGACTCCCTCCAATGCACCTTTCAATCAAGCTTAGCTAAGTTATCCTCATGAATATGAAACATAGAGCACAGTCAAACCAGAGAAAGTTTAGGGATGGTGTGTTTGCATTCGGTGTATAGAAGTGAATGAGAAATGTTAAAGACACTTTGTGGTGTGGAAAGTGATGTTGTTTGTGGGGACAAAGTGACACTTTGAGGACTTACCTCCAGTCCAAAGACAAAAAGCTAGTCCCTAAAAGGTTACCCATTTTACGCTTTTAGTGTATAAAAGGGAACCTCCTGATTGCTGCAGAGAGAAGCTTCAAGTACTTTTTTTATACCTTTTCTCCATATAGCCAAGCAAGAAAAAGGTTCAACAGACCCGCCTCCTGACATTTCCAAAATTCCTAATCTGTATTTTGATGCACGCTGACCCACAGTGTCTTCCTTCCTGCTTAGGCAAACATTTCCAGCACTTCCGTCTGGATTCACATGAACCCCGGGCAGCCTCAGTGCTTTCACATGGTAATTACAGCCTGCTTCCCTGGCAAAATAATAACAGCCTCAATAAGAAGCACAACACAGATGAGCTTTCTGATTTAACGCATTTTACTGCTACCCTCCCTCCCTTTCCCTCATTTCATCCAGTATCATTTTTTTCAGATTTGTTTAGTGTTGTTGATTCATTTTTCTAACTACCCTACGCCTGCACTGCGTCTGTCCAAAATAAAGCATTCAATCTGAGGCCCCATCTGCTGAATGATCCTCTCTCGTCTCATGCATGTACACAAGCCTGTGTTTTACGCCAAGGCGTTATCCACTCCTTCATGGCCCATCTGCTCTCTCTTTATCTATCCCATTTTCTTTCTTCCATCTTTTTATCCCTCTTACTTTGGCTCTGTGTCTCTCATCATAGTTCAGTTGGCTGTCATGATTTGTCACATTGCACAAACACATGCAATGTAATGTTTGTACTGCATGCAACACCCTTTTAAGCACTTGAGGCCTACTGTGTTCTCCAAAACCTAATACAATTGTTTGATGGGGAAATCTCCATGAACGTACATCGTCATCT